CTCAGTTGGTGAAGGTGCGGACAAAGGATTTTACTTTCTCCCTCCATATTTTGATATTTACCGAATCACCAGGTACCTCCTGGCATCGTCAGCTATCGTCCCGGGTGAAAGGTAACCCAAGCCCTACAGTGACAGTTTTCGACAGCATTTTGGGTAGATAGCATTACCGGCAAAGGCAAGGGAGACCGGAAGGGCCATTTCTGGCTCATTTGCCGTCGTCAGCCATTCATATGAGTACGTTGCGTTAGCGATCGGAGAAGTTCATTAAAGAGTATGAATATCTCCTGAACTAAACCGGCTAGACAATGAGCTCGTGGCTCAATGCTTAGGGCGGTAGACTTCTGATCGAAAAGGCCGCGAGTTCGAGCCTCGGATGGTGCGTTATTTGGGGTGGGATATTATTTTAACGGTAGCCCAGGCCGGGATATCACCGCTCAATAACGTTTTGTGTGAGTTCCCAAAGGGAAAACACGACAAGAAGGGTGCAACAGCAGAAGTCTTTGGATATAATGGGTACAACATATTTAGGACAACAGACGCGTATAACACAATGTCCATCGGGTCAATCAGCTTCTCTCCTGACGTAGGCGCCGGTATGATTGGCTGGCGACTCACTGTAGCTTCAAATTTAAATTAGTGATAGATTGTCTGGCACGATGCGTTCGCTCGCGCGTAGGCCGATCGATAGCTTACTGTGAACGCGGCTGCTGCTTGTATGCTAGCTGTTTAGTCCCTCCTAACAGGTATGACTGGCTGACGACGGCTAGTGAGCCGGGAATTCCCATTCCAGTCTCCCTTGCTTTTGCCGGAAATGCTATCCGTCTAGACTACCAGCCGCTGCGTGGCTGCTGGAGGGGCTCGAGAATGAGCCCCATTGAAGAGCGGGGAAATTTCATTAACGAGTTCATTCGGGGTGTTGGCGCCTTAGTTGATTGCTACCGGACACTGTATTTCAGTTCACACCGACTGCCTTATCTGTGGGTCTTAGTAGGTGCCGTTCTGGATCACGATCCTATTTCAGAACTCCCCATGGCATCTGGCATTCAGGAGACAACGTGATCTGAATATGACAGT